CTGCTGAACTTTCTTCATTATTTCATTTTAGGATCCAGAAGCACTAGCTCAGTTAATGAGGTCCATGCCACTAACAAATGATGGAAAATTCATGCTATTGAATGACCAAGCAGAAGAAGATGGAACTGTATGTGAAGAGAGGGGGGAGGAGTCAGAAGCATAAACCCTTCACTCCTCATATGCTGGCTAAAAAGTGCAGGGGGCGGCAGAAGGAGTTGGGTTGGGTTTTTTTGCAAGAACCTCTTGTTTTACAATGTCTGTACGTGTGTGGCTGTTTCTCCAGCCCAGGAGAGAGTGTGTGGTGTTATTTCAGTGGAGAGAGAGAGAGAGAGAGACAGAGAGAGAGAGAGAGAGAGAGAGAGAATGTGTCAGTATTAGCTCCCTGATGCTGGAGGTTAGGTGGGAAATCCTGACTATCAGTAGCCAAGGGTTAATGTCACATTACTTCAGATTTTTGGTCAAATGTTGAGGTACTGAGAATCCTGTCTTTACAGATTTCAGTAGCAATTGTGAACACAGCCTTTGGGGGAGGGGATGGTGAAAAATGTCAGGTTTCTCTGAAGTGTCCTGTCTTGATCATCAGTAATTTCCATAGTTTGCATGATGTGCATCTGAACTGAAGGTTAAAGAAATGCACTATTACTATATTTTCAAATGAAGTTATTTTTTAGTTTCTAGTGTACTTAAGTGTAACAAGAATGATCTTTTCTGCTAGTCTATTTACAAAACAAATTTCATAAACACTAAATTTTTCCTATTAATATAATCTATTTTTGTATTGCACCTAGAGCAAGCTTACAACAATCTAAGTGCCTATTCACCTTTGTGGGGACCCATCTTATACATACTGTAATTAAGTAATGACTATAATGGTACTCGTGGATTTATTAGTTTAAGTATCATAAATATACAAAACATCATCCAGACATAGTCACAGAATTTACTTGTTTGTTTGAGGTTTTTTTGTGTGTCTGTGTGTCTTTCTAAAGAAGTCACCAAAATTAACGGTCATATAGAGTCATGTAAGTTTGTATGCTTAACTTTATTAGAGCGTTTTAAGTCCGACAGATTACAGTCGTCTTTAATTAAAAAAACCCGCAGTAATAAAATGCTAGATTGCAAATTTCTGACAGTGATTTTTTTTTAAACTGTTTAGTGCTTGAAATCAGACCCTTTTTATTTTGATTAAGTCCAGTATCTTTCTCTGCTTTAATCTGAAACAATGTTGTTGCATAAAACTTGCTGGCATGGTTTGGCCATTTTGTGTTGCAGTCAAGCAGCTAAATGACCTGTTATATTGCTGCAGACAGTAGATAGGGAAAATATTTTAGTGACATCTCCTATATCTGTCCTAGCAAAAAACACTCATTCTTTATTGGTTCATCTGTTCTCTGTATCCAAGACAGTGGTTCTCTGCCTTTTTAGGCTCAAGGCACCCCTTGAAAAATGCCAGCTCTAGGTCTTCACTTATGCTTTTGACTGATGGGAAACGATAGAGAAAATGTTCTGCTGCAAAGAGCTCAGACCACGTACGGTTCCAGAATGTTTTTGGAACTTACAGATTTCTGTTTGAAATCTCTGGGTTTAGTTTGTGAATCATGTAGGTGTTTGCACACCTAACAGTGCTAATACTGAGCAGCACCCCATGACACCCTTAGAAGCTCTCATCACACCGCAGGGTTCCACAGCACCCTAGCTGACAATTTCTGATCTAAAAGCAATTTTAAGAACTTGTCCTCTGTTCCAACAAACTGAATTCAATCTGGACCTCTCCCCAAGTACTTACTAGTAAGCTAGTTTTTTTGTTACTAGAACATTTACAGTAGACTAGAATACGAGAAGAAGGCTGATCCCATGTAGTATTTTTGCAAGTGACCAGTTTGCATGCATTCTGTTCTCTTCAAATCTCTTGCTGAATTACTTGTGAGCACTGAAAATTAGAAATATTTGTCCACTTTACTACTGACACACACAAGTACTGCTTTGTCAAGAAAACACAATGGTATCATTTATATTAAAAGAAACTGATACGACAAAGGACACCTGTCAAAGACAGAACAAAGAATGAGATTCTCAAAATTACATTTATTAACATTGTTTTATGTACATAGCATACTCTACTCACAGAACCAAAAAGAGAGACTGAGGTAACAAAATACCCTTTTTGAGTTAGATAACATACATGTTACATTTGGTCCTTCATACCTGAGAATTTGAAAACAGCTGTCATTGATGGATATTAGATGGAAAGGTCAAATTTACCTCTAAATTACAGAATGCAGCAGGACCTCAGGAATCTGCACTCCAGCAAAGCATCGGTTCACATGTACACAAGAAGTGCATTAGTGGCTTTGCTCTCACTGAAGCATAGACCAGTCAACTACTGTCAGGTCCACTGCAGCTGGGACTCTCACCACAGGCCAATGGAGAGTTACCACGTAACCAGGATCCTTGCATTCATTAAGGTCTTGATACCAGACAAGGCAGCTACTGTGTTCAGCATCTTCCCTAGTGCTGTTGCTATGGGAGGGGGGAAAAGGGCCTGAACATCTGGGTTCTTATGGCTACTGGCCTGAAAGTGCAATCAGTAAGAAGGGGGCCATGGGCTGCAAAAGTGCTACTGCTACCAATTCTGCTTCCTGTCACATTCAGCACAGCCACAGCAGCAAACAAAAGATGGCAGCAGCTGCTGCTTTCTCACATAGACAGGCCTACCTGCATGACACGGTCTCCAGTCCATGGCTAGAAGGAAGCTAGGAGCTAACAACCTGGTCTATGGCTCCTCAGCAAATGGAAGCCTGCTTCACCTTTCCTCACTGCCTAGAGTTTGAATCAAGTAACAGCAGTTGTTACTTTTCTAAAACTTCCCTCTCCAGACCAGCAGATGAGATTTTGTTCTCTCACACTCACAGCAAGGCTTCAGGAAGCTAGTGCCAGCAGCACAGCAGGGAGCTTCATCTGGTTCCAGGCCTTATGGAAATGCAAGGATTGAAATAGCACGAGCAGATGAGGGAGTGACACCAGCCATGCTGGTACTGGAGTAGCCTCATGACTCTGTACGATGGCTCCTCCATTAGTAAATTTCTATAGCATAGTAAGATGTTCCAGATTAACTGCAATCATATATTAGAAAGAAGAGCTATATTATCATTATACATATGTATATATTCACACATACAGTACACATCCATGTACTCTAAACAGGGTTCTACAAGTAGCCTCCTTTCTGTAGAATTTCTGTCATCAGAACCATGTTAATTGCTTAGTACTGAACAGATCAGGAAGATGGATACATTACCTAAGGTAAGCTGTGAAGTATTAAGGACAACATTCTTCCAAAAATTAAAAAAAAATAAAAAAAAATAATAATACAAAAAAAAAAAAAATCACAGGTCAAGAGAGAGAATGCAATTGCTGTTTAGAATAGGTTATGACCTAATAGTACATTTCTGTAAAGTCAGATCTATGGGGAAAGTGATTGATGCCCTAGCCAGAGATTAGGAAGGAAGAAATGAAGATAGGCCAGGCCAGGAACATACTGACTATTTGAAAATGGATTCTGAAAAGGGGCGTATGCCTATGAAAACATACAAGCAGGAAAGTTAGCAGCAATAGGAGCACTGCTAAAAATGATGTTTCCCTCTGGCCTAATTAGCTCAAAAGAATTAAAATTTACAAAGTAAATAGTCATATCAGAATAAAAACAAATTAAAAAAAATTCAAAAACATAAATTAGGTTATGCAGCATTCCTTAGGGCCAACTCTGCAGTTACACCGAAATGCAAATAAAGGGCTTAATGAGTCCAGCTGATTAAACAGTTCATGATGCTTCTAGGTCAGGTTTTCAGATTTCATGAAAGAATTCTGTGCCAGTCTGGTCCCTTCACTTGCGGCAAGGCATTAGTCCTAGACTTCTGTATATGGTGATGACAGTGGCAGAGAAGGGCAAATCAGAGGACTGTCACACATGACATTACTACCTTATATAATTTGTGACCAGGTTTTGGAGCAATTGGAATCACTTCTAAAAACAGTACCTTGCTCTATAATGAAGAGATGTGGAGGCTCACAAAAATGGTCCAAAAATATTGTGCAAGACAAACAATTCGCAAATTGGTTACACTGACTGCACTGTTTGTTTTAGTGAGCAAGGCATTGTTCTCACGTTCCAAGTGATTAAAACAACCATGCTTTTCCAGTTTTTGTTTGTTTGTTTTGAGTTAAATCCAGCTATCTACTTAAGTCAGGAATCTGGATATTTGCTGTCTAACCCTTGCACAGTCTAAAAACCTTGTAGTAAGTACATGTTTAAGTTATACAGAGCTCTCACAGTGTTCAGCAGCTTTTAAAGCCTGCAGTGCAATTATCATTAATTAGAAAGCATTTAAGATAATGTTTGAACATGAAGGGTTTAACATATATATACAGGCAAGAAGATACAGGCTTGAGGCTGAAAACTGTGCTTAGGCACTACAGTATTTGTGAAATGTAAGATCACTTTAATAGTCAGACACCTGTCACACAGTGCCTGGTCATAAAAGGAAGCACTGACTCTGGTTCTCTCTTTAGTCTGAATTTCCTTACTCATGTGGCCATAAGTCAAGCCTTCAGTATAAATCTAAAACCAGTTTCATTATAGTTTTACTTTAACTCTTTGATATGAAAGAAGAAAAAAGAGGGACAAGTGAGCCACTGAAGGGACCTAATTTCCCTTAGCCAATTGATCAATATATTATTTAAGAGTAAAGATTTAGTGGCACACATTAATATTAATAAGGATTTCTGTATTGTGTATTAGCCTTAATATACATTCACAATGCCCACTGTTGCACACTATTATAGTGTAGTCTGTAATCGTGTGCTGGCTACAATATGGCTGGGCAGGACACCTTTCCAAATTATTTTTCAGACAACAGATACTCTTTATACATAATATCTGCCTTTACATTTTTTTCCTGGTTAAAGAGAAAAAGATGCTTTAATGCAAGCTATGGATCAATGGCCTACAATTTGTTTAAAATATGTTGTAAGTTAGAGATGCAAAAAAGCATCTGAAATTAGTAAACTAAGTTTGATCTGTACTTCTGTTTTAAGAAAACAATTGATCCTAAGTCAAGGTGTTATATACTAAGTTTCAATTCAGAGCAAAATGTTGTACATAAAATAAACCCCTGAAAATAGGGGTCTTCAAAAGAATATGAATATAAATTCAGCTCTAGCAGCACTACACACTGCTGTAGCACTGTTCCATTTTCTACAGAATTTAGCACAGCAAGTCAATCAAATCAAGAGATTTTACCCCATAAAAAAAAATTATCGGCAAAAACAAGATAACAAATAATTCTGATACATCAGACAAGTCATCCATACCAGAGATTTCATTTCACAATAGGATCTGCAGGTGTAGAACTAGACAGGTCTCCATCACTTGTTTTACTTGGTTCTTCTACAAAAAAAAAAATCAATATAAACAATGAAACTAATGGCTGCATGCATATTAATTTTTATCTAGACATAGTGTAACAAGCTTGCACTATACTATAAGTGTAAAGATTATGTTCTCAGGTTACAGATCCAGATGGAGCTTGCAGTAAGCATCCTGACCTCGCACAGACAGCTTCACTCATATCATTAATTCAAGTTAAGGGAATTATTTAAACAACCAAAACTATATGTGCTCAAGTATCTTAAAGAGTTGGGGCCTAAGATTTGAGGGAAACAGCAGTGGTATCATTTGACTTGTAACATTTCAGTCTAGCATCAGCTTTCAAGTCTTGATCACTGCAGAACTCCTGTGGCATGCGACTGCCAAGTGTACCATGACCATGCATATTTACCTTGAAATGCCTTTCAAGAGAACAGTCTACATAAACAGAACTGTTTAACTCTGAAGTTCCCATGTTGTTTGCTCTTTCTCTATTCATTAGTTCTGCTGGGTTCTCTCTGCAGTCAAGAGTTGTATCTTTTGGCATCTCTTAACTAGTGATGGTGGATGCCACGAACAGTAATGAACAGGGGTTTGATAGATCACTAGATATAACTGGTTCAGTTCTTTCCATCTACAGCACTCCTACCACTGAAAGGATATTGGGCTAAAGGAACCACTGGTATGACCCAGTATGACACTCAACGGGTGCTTGTTTTATTTAATTTACTTATGATAAAATCTGATTTGAGCAACTCCACATCATAGGCCACGTCCACATGAGCGTGGAGGTTTGTTTCCCCAGAGACAAGAAGCAGTGGCATATCCTGTGCCACTGCTATTTGTCCCTGGGGAAGACCTGTGCCACGCGCCCTCTGGCACATGGCAAGTTACCCTGGCAGAGGAGGGGAGGTTGGGGCTAACACTGTGCTGGCCCCAGCAGCCTTACTTGGGATCCTAGAGGCCTCCTAGAGCTGCAGCAGCGGCAATCCTGCCACTTGGAACCTGGCTGGCAGCCAGTGTGTGGCTCCAGCCAGCCAGGCTCTGGTTCTGGGTGGCACACACTGCACCCACATGCACCTTTTTTTTTGTGCGGGGTTTTTTTACCCCAGGATCTCCCAGGGTCATCCCTCCAACCCCCGCAAGCTGCAAGGTAACAGTGTGGAGAACAGCTCAACACGTGGTATGTGGCGCCACAGATGTGTCTGTGATGCCATATACCGCATGGCTGCGCTCATCTGGTTGCAGCCATAAAAGTTCAAACATGAGTTTAACCTGAAAAGATTAATTCCTTTTCTTACTAAAAATCTGCCTTAGTAGCCTATTTAGTTTCCTCTGGAAAAAATGGTAATTGATCAATTTGAGTCTGTCCCTGTAAATTTCTAGCCTTCCTTGGATGCTTTTGAGAAGACTTTACTAGCTATTTTAATTCCACTGTATTCCTCCATGCAAGATTAGCCATAATGATTTTCCTAATCCTTTGAACATAGCTATATGTTTACCTCAGCCTCCTTGTGTGCATTTTCTGTGGTGTCATAAAATTTATCTGCCTCCAGCTGTCCCTGGTGCTTCCCCAAACCTGAACCCACTGATCAGACAGAGGACAGCTGTGTCATGGACCCAGGGGCTGTCCCATGTTGGATCCCTATGTTCAGCTGAGCACTGGGATCCGTCATGGGTCAACCCTGACAAGCCACATATTCAAATAAATGTGACAAAATGAACGAATGACAAAGATGTTACACATCATACAAAGAATAGCCTTACGGCTTGCTTGCTTGCTATATTACAACCCCACAAATTGGATTTAACATGTGACAGGGTTACTCTTTATGGCATGATTGGCACCTTAATCGCATCCTAAATGCAATGTGCGCCAGAGCCCCAAGAGTCACTATACACTGCAAGCATATGAATGTTACTAGTATAACAGATTCATGCATTTTTGCCTACGTGTTGCCAATTTATTTGGAGTTAAAAATAATTCTTCAACCAGACAGAGAACAGCAGTTAATAGCATTCAGGCATTAATTCAAACAATACCTATTTGCCATTGCCTTCTATTTGGTAATGGCAAGAATGATACAACCTTTATTCTATTAAGGAACACTGGCTTTTTGCCTAACAAATTAGTCTTGAAATTAACCTACTCCATATGTCACCATTATTTGTCCCTAAATCACCATTATGGTTCTGACAACATTATCTGGAGTGCTAAATCAGGAGACAATAGGAAAAATGTAGTTAAACAAGGATAGGAAAGATGGCTCCCCATGTTAAGGGCTTTTAGCAATGCTTACACAGCATGGCAAGAATGTCAAGATCTTAAGAGACTCAAAATATTCACTAACCTTCTTTCTCTTTCTTTTCCTGGCTTTCTTCTGCTGCAGTTTTGTCTGCTCTGAAAAATATTCTTGCACTGCTTAGTGAGAAATGAAGCAGTTCAAACTCCTGAGTAGAAACATTTAGACAAGAAAGAGACTGTTAGTAAGGGTTACTGTTTCACCAAATTAATATCTATAATATATGTGGGTGAGATTTTCAGAGGCACCTAGGGCAGGGGTGTCAAACTCACTGGGCCTCTGTGAGCCGGACCCAGACTGTGGGGCTTGTCATGGGTTAGATCAGGGGTCGGCAACCCCCAGCACATGTGCCAAACATGGCACACAGGGCCATTTTGCTTAGCAGGCCACCACCAGTCTGAGCTCTAGGCAGCTGCTGCCAGCCATAGAGCCAAGGCTGCTCCCAGCAGACAGCTGGGAGGCTGCAAGCCCTGCTGCAAGCCTGGGCTCCTGGCTGCCAGCAGCTACCCAGAGCTTGCGCTGGCTGCAGCCGAGAGGCTGCAAACAGCTGCTCCGGGCTCTGGAGCCCCAGCATCAGCTCCATACTGCTGGCAGGTGCACACGCGCCTTGGAGTGGATGGTGGGGATAGGGCCTGAGGCACTGCAGCCCTCCCCCACTGTCCACTCCGAGGTGCGTGTGCGGTCGCCGCCACCATGGAGCTGATGCCGGGGCTCTGGAGCCCGGCGCAGCTGTTTGCAGCCTGCCCACTGCCTGCTGCAGCTGCCCAGAGCCCAGGCTGGCTACAAACAGCTGGGATGGGCTCTGGACCCCTGTCATCAGCTCTGTGCTGGCAGCAACTGCACATGCGCCTCAGAGTAGATAGCAGGGGAGACGCCATGGTTGTGCTGCCTCAGGCCCCTGCCCCGCCATCCACTCTGAGGTGTGCACACACCAGCCGGTATGGAGCAGATGCCAGGGCTCCAGAGCAAGGGTGGCACCAGCTGCCTCCCAGTGGTGGGGCTGGGCCAGGAGGCTCCACTCCTCCCAGCACTGCCACTGCCGCCCGCCTGCCCCACACAGCTGAGTCCACCTGACTCCCACAAGCCCAGCCCCAGCACCTCCACCAGGATGAGGCTGACACTGCCCCTGCCAGGAACACCGCACCTTTGCAGGCTTAGCTTATGCTTAACAAAAAAGGAATACACAACAACAAAGGTAGCATATGAAGTCTGATTTATTGTCACCAGATTTAAATTTTTAGAAAATCTGGTATTTACTGTAAAAAATAAATAAAAAGGCAACTTTTATGATTATTGACTATATGAATATGCAGCACATCCTGCCATGTACCCCCTGCCCTGGTTTTGTCTGTCTGGCATGCTGACACTGGCACCTTACTAGGTAGACATTCTGGCTTTTTTGGCACTCTGGCCAAAAACATTGCCTACCCCTGGGTTAGATGATCTGTCGGCGGCAGCGTTAATCCCCATGGCTTTTCAAGTCACTGTTTCAACCCCCTTTCCCCTTTTAATTTCAAGGTGCGGACTAAAAACAGATTTTGGCAGTGGTGAGTAAGGGGGAATTTCAAGGGGAAGTAGCAAGCAGCATTAACTTCCTGGCTTGTTGAACTGTGCTGAAACAACAGAGGTGATTCAAGTCACTGCCACAGGGGCTCTGGCAGGCATGTAAACAAGCCCCACTGGCCAAATCTGGCCCACAGAGTCGTCTTCCAATAGAATGAGTGAGGACAAGAAATAGAACTAGTTTAAACATGACCTTGATAACCTTATAAGCAGGACTGTTATGACATGGCTGCTTACAACAGCAGGGGACTGGACTTGATGATCCAGGAAGATTCCCCACAGTCTTAAGTCTCGACAGCCATCTACTAAATACATAATACCATACCTTTGATCTCTAAGATCACAGAGAAAGTCATGTGACTATCTAAGCACACCTATTTATCCATGTAGTAAGGCAGAAAATAGAAACTGATGTGCCTTGAAGTTAAAGCTACTAGTCTAGGTTTTAGAAGGTACTCAGTAAGGGTCCTCTTTTTTCCATTTGATAGCTGAAAGGTTATTCAGGAATTGACAGAAGCATTATCCAATGGCAAATGTTGAGCTCCCATGTGTTTTCTAATCAAAAGGCACCATGCTGTTTGTGGCTACCTGTCCTTCATTTCCCTGAAGAGGTGCTCTCCCACAACTTAACCACTTATAAGACAGCCAATTTAGATTAGGCTCTGAAGGCCAAAGACTTTTTCAATACATCCTTAAGTACAATGCATGCTAGTAGCATTTATATGAAAAATACCAACTGTGACAAAAATTTCTCCAGCCTGTGGTTCTGCTCCCTCACTTAAGATTTTTTTCCTTCTCTCTTTGTCTTTTCACATGTCTGTCAATCTGGTTGCCCAGGCAGCCAACTTGCTGCCTACTTGACCTGGCTCAGGTAGGAGGCGATGGATCTAGCTGCTCCACTGCTCTAAATTTTGACCACTCGACCTAAGAGCTGGGCTTAAGCCAATATCACTCCAGTAGGTAATGCTGATGTTTTTCAAATTGATTGGTCAGCATCAAATAACACCTCTCCCTGACTAGGTCCAGGTGATGAGATCAGGAGCGCTATTTAAAAGGGTCCCTCCATGTTGCGGGGGGGCGGACATCTTCAGGTCACTGAATCAAGCTATATACCTCCAGAATCCTCTGGACGTTGCTGTGAGTAACTCATCTGAATTTTAACCAGTAACTTAGATCCAAGCGCTCCAGATGTGTACTAAAAGGGCCACTGAGCCCCTTATACTGTTTTGCTCAAAGCTGTTTCCTTTCACTATTCCACTGTATTGTATTCCTTCCTCATGCTCTCCCTCTGTAATCAATAAAGCTATCCACTATAGCAAGCCTTGCTGTACATGCTTGAGAGGGATGAGGCAAGCCTTTTCAGCTCCCTTTTGCTCAACTGGCTAAGGGAGGCTATTTGTGAATGCTTCAGGCTAAGAGAAACACCCCAAAGTACCACAGTGGGTTAAACAACCCCAAGATCTACAGGGTTTGTGTACCCCAGGTGGCACAGAGTCCTAATACAGACCCAGGCAGTGGTGACAATTACCCCAGGCTTGTGGGTGTGCTCCAGAAAGGCGGTCGGCCAAATGTAGACACCCCAGGGGAGACACTCAAAGCGGGCTTATGTTCAGGCACAGAGAGGTGGGTGGCTCAGTGCTGTAGCGCCCCCTACTGTCCCGCCACACCAGCTAGCTCACCTCCCCTACCAAGACCTTTATTTCACTCTAGGCAGCAACAAATTCTCTCTACAGACTATTGAGGGTGCTTCTATAGAAGCACCAAGCCAGGTAAATGTAGAATTCAACAGTAGTCACATTAACTAGAACTATACTGTACCTGTAAATAAACATCTAGTCGCTTGTGAGTAAGGTTCATGGTCTGTAGTAGCTTCTCATCTTGATTCGTCGATTGCACATTCTGTTGCTTAGCTACTGCTCTTATCTCCTTCACATATTTCTCTCTGACTGACTGGAACCAGTGAAGCGAGTCAAACTCCTGGTACTGATTCAACAGCTTTAGAATGTAAGCCACACCTGCAATCATTAATGAGCCATTTACCACCGTCAAAGTCCAGATACAGGTACATATGCTACATAAATCTTTAAATAACCATTAAGACATTCTTGGAACTTTTAAAGTTGTATGACCTACTTCAACAAGGTTAACAGTCAAATTATGATTAAGAACAAGCTTTGTTTTACAAAAACATCACAACCACATGTGCCCTATTATGCACAGGTGGTGTGCAGAGACACAAATCCCCACCCCCATCCCAAAGCTGGAAGGGTGAAACAGACATCACCTTTGTGCTGCTATAAAATTTATGGTGGCATAAAGGCCAAGCAAAGAAACATCCATACCCCTTGTTCCACCACAAATGCCCCAAATTTGTGGCCGTGACATAGGTGGCATGTATTTGTGCCACTATTGTGGCAAGAATCTGTTAGGTTTATGGCAAGAGAGAATGGTAGGCCTGGCACAGCCCATACTCTCCAGCTTCACCAGGCAGGCAGCCATTCAGGAGCTTCA